CCCCCCCCCCCCCGCAGCTTTAGTTGTGCCATGGGGAGAGAAGATCTAAGAACCCCATCAGTCATGTTACATGCCTTTTCAAACTTTCCTGTCCAGATGACAAGAGGAGGGAGAAAGGTTAACTGGTCAAATGCAAACGACTTAATCTAAATGTCAGGGAAGAACACAGGGCTGCGGAAAATGCAGGCCTAACATTTTAAATAGTTAATCTAACATTTCACTCCTTATAGCAGTCTTAGTCCTGTTAAATTCCTACTTGTCTAATAGTTTTGTCATGCATAAACTTACGGTTTTTTATCAATGCAAAATGATGATGTTTCAGGTCTTAGTCCTGTTAAATTCCTACTTGTCTGCTAGTTTTGTCATGCATAAACTTATGGGTTTTTATCAATGCAAAATGATGTTTCATCCTAAATGAACTTGCATGTGTCCAGAATCAAGCAGCAAAGCACTGCAGCAGCTACGTATAATCTCATGGTGTGGCAAGTGCATCTGTGGCATAAGCTGAATGTGAACCATTGGCTAAAAATTGAAGGCAGCATCATTATGTGTAGCACTGCTGTGCTAAGAGGCAGGGGTGGGCGAGGTGGGTGGTTTCAAGCTAGGTTTGCCAGGAGACTAGCTACTGATGTGCATGCTGCATCTCACCTTGTGTTATTTATTTCATCTCCTAGGTAAAATAGTCAAAGTGAACATGTGGCGAATGCTCTTGTGTGAAGCAACAGCGGCTGTCATGGCCAAAGGTTTTGACATCTTGGGAATCAAGCCTGTCCAGAAAATGTAACTATCGACTTAATTTTTTAAAAAACAGACTTGCCAACATCAAATCAGTTGACTATCATGACCCATTGTTTTAAAATAAAAGTAGTGAATTATAAAAGTTCCATTGTCCCTCACTTCATGAAGAGCAATTGAAAAAAAAAATGATAGCAACTGCACGGCAGTATCAGCCCCAGTTAAACTTCTCTCTCTCTTGGTACATTCCAGGAGGCAAATAGGGTTCAGATAAATTCTTTATTTTACCTAAATTTATATTTCATGTAAAACTTTGATTACGACCAAGTTATATAGGCCAAAAAAAAAGAGAGATTTTTTTTAAAAGAGCATCACACAATTTGTAATGTTTAAGCTACTGGCCTGTCACCTGGAAGCATGCTGCAGAGCAGGCAGTTCCACATGTGGTTCTTTTCTACCCATCGTGGCGGCCCTTGGCATGACAGGAAAGTCTTCTTTAAAGGAATGGGGCCCTCTCTGGGTTGATTAACCACAAGGTAGAGATCAGCCAGAGCCCTCTGTCCACAGAGCAGTGATGCACCATAAAAAAGCAACAGGATACCAGCCTTGAAGCAAAATGTGATGAGAGGGACATGTTTTCTCAGAACATCCCAATAGCCTGCAAAGCTCATACTAGCCAGATGTGAAGAGTAGCTTGCCAGCCAGTCTGGTGCAATGACTGAGAGACACATAGAGCCATGGAGTTGTAATGGGTCTCCATGAACAAATCCATCTGTGCAAGTCAATAATGCAATTATTGAATGCAGCACCTTTATTAAAGGCGTATTGTCTGAACGTAGATGCAACTATTTTAACAGTATTTACAGTAAAAGTTAGACAGTTTGCAAATATAAGTGCATAGTATACATATTAAGTATTACCTTTATATTAACTTAGAAGTACCACTTGTAAGTCAATGCATTATGTTTCTCCCCTCTTTCTGTTTCCAAAAAAATGCAGGATAACTTAAGTATCAGCTTTGTAATTAAGCACACCTCTCCTTTTCCTGTGCCTAATGATTGAAAATGTTGCTGTTTTAGATTTCCTTTTGTTTGCATTCTAAACAATGGCAAAATTACAGGGGCTTTTCTGGTAATATTGGTGATACAAGAAAACTCAAATGAAATATTTGTTCATTAGAATCTAAAGGGCCCCTTTTGCTACTTAATTGGTATTATTGAAACAACTGCTCATTAGCTAGAATAGATGAAGGACACAACTTCGTTTATTAAAAAGGAATTTTTTTTTTGTTTTAAGATTACATTTGTAATGGGTATGAATGTGTAATGGCACACTTGCTAAACACATTTAAGATAAAAATACGTCATATCCCCTGTATCGATGTTATGCTAAAATGCACATGTTGCCCTGCTCTGACTTTAAACGAGTGGCTGAATACTGTTAGTGTCCAAACAAAAAGGGAAACCAAAGTCATGAAAGACATTCTGGAGATTAGGCTCTGCATAGAGAAAGTGATCAAACCACACCTATTCAAGAACAAACCTTAACTATCCCTTATATATTCAGTCCAGCAGGCTAGTTGTGCCAGAGGGCCTGTTCATCAAAGTTATTTGACATGCCAAGTGGAGAGGAGAATTCAGTAGAAGATGATCAATTCATGGTGCAAGTCTAAGCTGCCTCAAATACAGACAGAGGCCTGTATTTTATCGCCTTGGTTTGATTGATTAAGTCCTGCAGGTTTGTCAACTTATGTATGGGGAAAGCCAATTTATAATTGTCTTTGACATTTTATCCTTTAAAAGAAACTAGTTACCGTTCAAGTGGCTTATGAATTAAAGCAGCTCAGCTGTTTGCAACCCACACCACTGGATCATACATGTTGTCTAATTTGTTGATCGTAATAGAATTAAATACATAAACACAATGCTTGGTGCACTGAGTTGCGACGAGAGTAGGACCATTGAATCAGTGGAACTTAGGGAGGAGTTGACTCCCCAAATACACACTGATTCAGTGGACTTATTCTTTCTTTGCTGAGCAATAGGATTTCCAGCCACCTCTCCCTAATACCAATTTAAATCGTCTCAGTGCTTGAGGAATACATGGAAGGAATAGCAGCAGATTTGCTCTAACCCAGTTGTTTTCACCAAAAGTCTGCAAAACCACCCACACAGTACCTCTGTGTTGTGTGAAGGAGAAAAGAACGGCATAGGTAGAATATTAAGAAACAATGGAGGGGGGGGACTAGAACCATCAGCATCCAGGTATGTGAGTGCATGGTTCAGACTGAGAAGCTGTTTTAAAACAGCCCTTACAACAGAATTGAAAGCTGGCCATAAATGTTAGTGGAAGAACAGAATGGTTTCTGGGCAAGGCTCCAACTATATCCATGACCCTCCTTCAAAATAAAGGGAGGGAAACCTCAGAACCCCCCAACCACCAAAAAAACAACAACAAAGACTTCCTGTGTTTATCACAGATGGAAACTGCAGGGCAGATGGAGAGAAAACAGAACAGAGTAGTGGGAATCCTTCAGGTGAGAACTCTTGGTTGCAAGATTTTATTGCATGGCCCATTTGTCCCTGTTCCCAAAGCTGTACTTGGAAATGCACGCAGATCACAACTACTGGTGCCTCTTCATCTATAGCAATGGTCTTGTTACTGAAGGAGCCTGCCACTCAGAAGCATCGCTTGCAGATCTAAGGGCACGCTGTGCAATCCCACCCATCACTGCTTAGTAGGCTGTTTTACATTACAGCGGGGAACACATTTATAATCTAAAGCACACATTTTGCCTTTCATCAGAACACTGCTTACTGTGTGCCTGTAAAATGAAGATTCCTGCACAGCCATTTAATGTATGCAAAAGTCTTTGTGGGTGTTTGTTTATGGCTTCCCACTTGCAAAAGGCACAAGTATTTGTGACCCATAGGTATAGGTTGACTTCTTATAGGAATGGAATTAATTTGTAATAAGTTAACAGTACTCAAACCAGTGTAACACTTAGTTGGTTTTCTAAACCCACCTGGAGCTGCAGAGGTATGCTACTATCACATTTTTAGTTTATAAAACATCTGAAAAATAATAAAATCTCACATTTACACATTACTTAAAATATATTTAGAACATACCAAGATGTTCCTCTTAAATAATTTACTTTGATAGATAATATTCAACATAGTTCTTGGTATAAAATTTGTATAAGTAACATTCAACATAATTCTTCGTATAAAATTTGTATACAAAACAGAAAACAATGGTGCATAGTGACAGTCACTTCAAGGATACACTGGAACTAAATGATCCATGGAGTTATTTAGTGTTTTGTTTATATATTGCTTTTTTAACTGATTAATTTTTAATAAAGGTGAATCAACTTTCCTCAGACTTTGAAAAGAGAAATTTTGGCCACCATGCTTTGTCTTTCTCTCGAAAAGTATAAAGTGGTCATCTCTGGACTAATTTCAGTAAGGAGAAGTTTTCAATGATTCTTTAATCCTTATAAGTTCTGCAGCACACAAATGACCAAAAACCCTGTTGTACCACTCAGTTGTCCGGCCTCTGTGGGGGGAAAAATTAGCTCATTAGACTTTAAAGTTCTAGATATTTTCTGTGCACATTCCAATCCTACCAGCACAAATCCAAATTATTTAGAAAGAAAAACAAATCTTAAACCTCAATTAGTGCTTCTGAAAACAGACATGAATTTTTACTGGCCATTAAGTACACTATAATTGGTTGGGAGAATACATAGCAAGGTGTTCATATACACCAGCAGGTAGTTATAAATTATATGAGGTCATGGTCTCTTAGTGGTAAGGGAGGGGCAATAGTCTCTAACAATTTGTCCTGGGTTATACTCATTGAGAAAAACTGATTAAAATAAATAGCATTTATTTCTTGAATAAATTCATTTATCCAATGAAATGAAGTATCTATAAAACTGAACAAAACAATTTGTGCTGCAAGCTGCTAGTTAGAACAGGACACCAGATATTCTTTTTGGTATTCCAGTCCTATTACGCTGGGGAAACACTTTATCCTACAAAAAGAAAAATCCATTTAATCTATAAGTAATTGCTACAGAATTTCTATAGTGGCTCAACAGGAGAGATGAGGTTCTGAACACAAAAGGGAATAGGAGAAAAAGATACCTGGTATCTATTCGGCAGACATGGGTCACTTTTGATTTTTGAGAGCCAACTGCTTCTATCAGGTACTGACAAAGTAGAACCTGAGCCAAGATCCCGCTCACAGCAGCACCTTCGCTGTTAGTTGACGTTGCTGCTAACACACATGTGCCACTCTGGGGATCAGTCCGCCAAGTCCTGAGAATTAAAAAAAGTCAGGGATTTGTCAGCCATGTTCATGAAATACAGTGGTGCCTTGCTAGACAGTTACCCCGCATGACAGTTTTTTCGCTAGACATTGACTTTTTGCGATCGCTATAGCAATTCGCAGAACAGTGATTCCTAGGGGGGAATTTCGCTGGACAATGTTTGGTCCTTGCTTCGAAAACCAATGTTTGCTAGACAACGATTTTGACAGCTCCCTCCGCGCTCGCAAAACGGGTGTTTTCGGGACCTAAGCTTCGCGAGACAGCTATTTAAACAGCTGATCGGCGGTTCACAAAGCGGCTTTCCTATGGCCAATCTTCGCTAGATAACGACGATTCTTCCCCATTGGAACACATTAAACAGGTTTCAATGCATTCCAATAGGGAAATGCTTTTCGCTAGACAATGATTTCACTAAAAAGCAATTTCAGTGGATTATCATCGTCTAGCGAGGCACCACTGTACAATCTACTAGTTGCCATCTAGGCCTCACTGACTATAATTAAGAGCAACCTACAATTTGTGTAGATATTAGCCAAGATTCTGTTTATGAAAATCCACTTGGTTACGTGAAAAGCAAACCTGAATTCCATCTCTGCCACAAAAGCAGAACAATCACAGGCCCTACCAAAGCCAGCTAAAAGGAAGAACTTCTCTGCTGGCAACTCCGACTCCAAAATCTCTGGATGCCTATTGAAGGTGTTAGCAAAAAGGAAGCATTCCAGAGGCGGGAAGACACAACCTTCCATTGTTATGCTTCTTTCTTGGGGTCCTAATCAGTCTGAGGAATCTGTTGGTGCTGGTTAAATCTTATGTTAAAAGTAGTTTTGCCAGTTATCAGTGAGGTAAAACTACCGATTATGTAAAAGCTGCATTTTCTCTACAGATGACTGTGATTTTAATCTTTTCCCTTTTAAAATGTCTACCGTGTGCACCAGGAGTATTAGCAACAGAGGACAACAGTATACACTTCCAAAAATTTGAACTTTCAGGATAAAGCCTTTTCCTCCATGTGTTTGGCTTTTGTTATCATTCACTCCACCCTTTCTCAAGCTCCAGCAGGATGGCAGTTGACAGAGAACAGGAAATGCTGCAGAGAGATTTACCTTAGGACCACATAATCACGTGGAGGAAGTGGAGACATGCTCTCTGTTGTGTAGTGGTAGACATCTGTTTCATCATCAAAGATCTCTAGGATTTTTGTTTCCTGAAGGTTTGGGTCCCACATGTGCTGCTCCATTAATATCCGATGTAAAACCACTTTGGGGGCAGCATCAATTTCAACAGCAGCTTTCCACAACCGCACACAGAAGTCATCATCCACCTTAGAAAACAGTTAATTTGTCAAAAAACAGCTTGGCAGATTTCCATCCCTTTCAACGCTATATTGAATACTAAAAGGTATCAGTTGAATACACATCTGATTAAAAGCAGTGTAGGAGCCACTTATATGTGGCTAGAACCCACGTTGCTCCAGTAACATCAGGTTTCACTGATTTCAATAGGGATTACTCTGAGGCAAGGCAGTAGAGTGACTTCTCATGATAGCATAAGAAGACAAGAATCAGTGGAAAAGACTAATGCTAGGCAAGTTGGAAGGCTGTAGAATAAGAAGACCCAACATGAGATGGATGGACTCAGTAAAGGAAACCATGGCCTTCAGTTTGCAGGATCTGAGCAGCATGAATAGTGATGAAACCTTTTGGAGATCATTGGCTTCACAGGGTTGCTATAAGTAAGAAATTCTTTGGAGATCATTGGCTTCACAGGGTTGCTGTAAGTAAGAAATTACTGTATTTTTCCATTTATAACATGCCCCCATTTATAAGACACCCCCCACTTCTCTAACCCCAAAATTAAGAAAACTTAGTTTTGACTATTCATCAAAATTAAGAAAACTTAGCTTTGACTATTCATCGTCTGGGCTCAGAATGTCAGACATTAGGAGTCCCTGTTGAATCTGAGTCTACAGGCTCCACCTCCAAGGAAGTGTGCTCCATTTCGTCTACAGGCTCCACCTCCAAGGAAGTGTGTGCCATTTGGTTGGTTCATCATCAGCTGACGTCAGTTCCATAAGGCTCATGACTGTAGGAAAGCTAAGCCTTGTGACTGAAGGAAGCCTGTTTACAGAGGCAAGGTATGTGCTGTTTTGTTCTCTCCTTAGCTATCTCAGCTTACTTCCGTGTAAAAGACACCCCTCAATTTTTAGTGTAATGATTTTAGAAAAAAGTAGAATCTTATACATGGAAAAATATGGTAGGTGACAGCACACAACAACTACAGTGGTGCCTTGACTTACGAACTCCATCCCTATTGGGATGGTTTTCGTAAGTCGAATCAGCATTTCCCATAGGAATGCACTGAAAACTGATTAATCCGTTCCGGCTGTTTTTGTTCTTAAGTCGAGGCACGGTTTGTAAGTCAAAGCATTCGTTCCCGTAGGAACGAATGCAAAAGTGTTTAATCCATCCTCTACCACTAGGGGGAGAATTTTTTTTAACCTAAGGTTAATGTTTAAAAAAGGGCAGGAAAGGAGGCAGTCCAAAGTGCATTTCCCGCTTTTTCCGCGGTTTTTTTCCCCGTAAGGCGAAGCGGGAGGCAGTCCAAAGTGCATTTCCCGCTTTGTCCGCGTTTTTTTTTTTCATAAGTCGAAGCTCTGTTCGCAAGTCAATGCAAAATTATGTGAACGGAGCTGTTCATAAGTCGAATTGTTTATGGAGGCAGTCCAAAGTGCATTTCCCGCTTTGTCCGCGTTTTTTTTTTTCATAAGTCGAAGCTCTGTTCGCAAGTCAATGCAAAATTATGTGAACGGAGCTGTTCATAAGTCGAATTGTTTGTGTGTAGGGACGTTTGTAAGTCGAGGCACCACTGTACAAGGTAATACAAAATCATATGCAGCCTAAATGTATCCTAGACGGTACCACTTGGGTGGGCTCCATATGTTTCCATCATTCATTACAGAATGCTAAGCATCTCATGAAACAGGATTTCTAGACTGGGTATCGGTGCTGGGGTGGCACTCAAGCACTTTTACCTTCTGTGACAAATCCTACCCATCTAATTAATGTACCACTCATTTTCTCACCGGTAGTTAGCACATTTTCAAGTGGAGCAAAATATTACTAGCCAACTCAGAGCTAATCTAGGAGGATACTTTATGCCATTTAAAACTCATTCACTTCGAAGTTCATTAGCATCTTCACACACAAATTACCTTTTTATATGCAGAATCGACCCCTTCTAAAATGGAGCAGGTCACCCAGTTCTTAAACTTCTCTTTGTCATCTCGGAGCAAGTCCTGCATGGACCGTTCCAGGGATGCCACTGTACTGGAATGCTTTGCTAAGGACGTTTGGTGTGGAGCTGCTTCACTGGGGTTACTTGGATCATGTGAATCTTCATATGCCTGGTCGAAGTAATAGTCAGGTATCTGCAAAAGAATTCAGGTTGGTTGAGATGGAAGGCTGTATTACACACAAATAATTCTGACATAGTCATAACCTAGAAGTGAGTATCTGGAAAATAAAACATACAAGGAACGGATGTCCCAATGCATTCTAATGGGACTGTTAACAGCTATAACCAAGGAATTTAGAGAAGCTTTTATCTGGCTGAAAGACAGTCACTCTTGGAGAAAACTCATAGCTTACAAGCCTTGCTTAACTTTAGCGATAAATCTATCAGAAATCTTCAAACCATTTTCTGAGCCATATACTCTGAAAGTTACATTATCCCATGAAATTCACTGAAGAATGGAATATCGACATCAGAGAACCTGGAGGTAAGAACCCCTATAGCAGAGAAATTAGGTGTGTGTTTGTGTGACTCAAATGCACCAACAAAGGCAAGACAAGAAATATGTTTGTGCACATTTTGCTATAGGTACTTGTTAAATGGGCATTTGATAAACTATTCAAATGATGTCAGAATCTCTTCCTTACAAAATGAGGGCTTAAGAAATAAAGAAGCAAGGAACATGTGTGGACCCTTCTCATAGAATAAACATGGCCAATGTAAATAAAAGGAAGGATTGCTCAAATAAAATGATTGCACTGAAGATAAGAACCTTTTAAGTGTGAACCAAACTGCTCCAAATTCCCCTGGCTGGACAGCCCCTTTGGTGCCCCCACTGTGAACATTCCACCTTGGGTAACCATGCTAGGAGTCCAGAGTCTTGATGGAGTCTGCCGTCTTGGCAGCCTCGTTCTTGGCCTGTCTGACACACTCAGCTGCCCAGCATATTAAGGGGCCTGGACTCTGATCAAGTAGTAAATGGTGGATTTTTTTTTTTTTTTTTTTTTTTTTGGCAGATTCCACTCACCATCTCAGCCCCACCTCTCTTTTTAAATCCTTTCTCACACCTCCTTTGCATGTCAGTAGAAGACAGGGAGATCCAAGAGAAAAAGCAAGAATCACAAAAAAACCATTTAAGTGGAGTAAGAGAGGCTCTCCTGTCTCGTGCGTGTACACCCTACTCTATTTCCATCACTACTGTTATCAAGCCAGGCTTTCCTGACAGGCCATTTTAATACTTGGCTGGAAGGGCATCTTGGCACTTCTTCCTATCAGTGCAAATGGTGCCAAGAGGAGTAGTCAGGAGGAGGCCCAAGTGCCAAACATTCTTCAGCCTTACCGGCACTGCTCCCGTACTAGCAGGCCAAGCTCCCACGCACAAGACAAGATGAAGCAATCGACATTGTAAAGGCAGAAGAGATGTCAGCAGGCCTATCAATCAGGAATGAACTGATAAATCAGTACGTCTCAGACAGAGCAAGGAACACTCCCACTTCTCCATCACCACTGAGGAAGTTTTAGATCAATTGTTCTGTTTGGCATATGCTTTCGGCAGGCACGGTGTCCCTCAAGAAGAAGAAAAATGAGATGCTGCCTACTTTCATTGTGAAGGCTCTGAGACCCACATGATGCAAGAAGTGCATCAGCTTTTGGCGATACAATGATTTCCGAAAACAAGAACAAGAACATTTTTAGCATTTACTGTAGGTTGAAAAATCATAAAAACCAGCCTTCCTATTGGACTAAATCTGCTGCAGTGCAGCGTAGTGTTAATGTACTTACACACGTAATTTATATCCTGTCTTTCCTTCAGTGAGCTCAAGGTACCACACATGACTCTCTCCATCCCGAAAACAAGAACCCTGTGGGAGGGATCAAGCTGAGCAACTGATGGTCCAAAAAAAATCACTCATTGACTTTCATAAGCGAGTAGGGATTTGACCCCATGTACCCCAAGTCTGAGCCCAGCACAGTAACTGTATTACATCACATTAACTCTCCACATTAAGTAAGCTGAAGGAAAAGGAAAGCAATATGGTTGGTTGTGGGAAGCAACTATAGTACAAAGAATCATTCCTTGCTGCTATCGAACATCTGAATAGGAGCTGATTTAGGATTTTTTATTTTCTATTGACAATTGAAATGTGTCCTATTCTCTTTTTAGCCAAGAAAGAAGCCCCAATGACACTACTCAAATTTCTTAGTAGTTTAGTGGAAGAAGCTGCAAATGAAACTGAACATCAGGATGTCCTGAAGGGGATAAAATACATACCTGAAAGAGTCTGTGGCACTCCATTATCATGTGAGCCAGACCTTGTGTCGCAGCTAAATTCTCACTCAGATCCCTCTGGTCTGGTTTTCCAGTACTGTGTTTCCTCAGGCTGGATCTGAAGAAAAGAATATAAAATGTTGTAGCTTCAAATCACTGCAACTTAAATATCACTAAATCTGGGCATGACCACATCAGACAGTGATCAAAATCCTGTTACTTACCATAGTAAATTGCACTAAAAGTGTGCAGTTTATACATCACTGCATAGAGCTTAAAACACTCTCTGGGTGGTTTACAATTTAATTATGGAGGCTACACATCCGCCCGCCCTGAGCAAGGATGGAAGGTTGAGTCAAACTTGTGCCGGCTATTTGGAATCAAATTCAGGTTGTGAGCAGAGTCTTCACTGCAATATTGCAGTTTAACCACTGCACCACAAGGCTCCTCACTAGGCACTAGTGTAGGCCCACTGTCCTAGCTCCTCGCCAACCTAGCAATTCGAAAGCACGCAAATGCAAGTAGATAAATAGATACCACCTCAGTGGGAAGGTAAAACAGCATTCCCTAGTCAGCTGGCCACGTGGCAAGGGAAACTGTCTTCGGACAAGTGCTGGCTCTATGGCTTGAAAACAGGATGAGCACCGCCCCCTAGAGTCGGACACGACGGGACTAAAAATGTTAAGGGGAACCTTTACCTTTTACCTATGATAACCAACAGGATTTTGGCCAATGAAAAGAATAAGGCAAATTTATCATGTGTGATATGGACAAATATCTAGAAGATGAGATCTCGGGAAAAGAGAGCTAGCCTAGCCCTCTCCTAGATTTTTATTAACAGAGAATGTAATAAATGCAGGAACATCCCAGTGTTCTTTGTTTATGTTTGAAACCAATAAGCTGTCTTTTGGCCAAAGACATTTCCAAAACCATATTGGTGGGGGTGGGGATTAAGAAGGAAGAGAAAAAAAATCACTAAGCAATAAATATAAGCTAAGAGAGAACAGACAGTAAAGACACAAACGACAACAAAACAACAATCCTAGCAGCAAAGGCTTACTGGACATATCTTTGACAAATCAGGTCAGAAAGGACTGGTCCTAGCTTGTCCTAGGCCTGACCCATGGTCTCAACACAGATGCGGGGACTCGGCCAAACATCCTGACGGGCTGTCTGTCTGACAACACAACAACTACATCTGACAACCATTTCCCACTCTCCTGTAACCCAAAGTGATACAATCCAGGCAAAGGTTTAGTAATTCCTAAGAAATAGGTACTAGAAAATCACCATAATATGCAACATAATGACTTATTGAGACAATCACAGAGAGGATTCTAACATTCAGACTGTGCACTAGAAAAAAATTTTTTTTTTTTTTAAATCAAATTTATGGCAAGAAACCTCCAGTATAACACTGTGAACCATGACACGCTTTTTCATGAAGTCCTACAGGAATGGGAGTAAGCTAATTCTGGTGAATTGCATTTCATTCACAGGTACGAAGAAGGTTCTCACTGATTTGCCACTGATCATTCAGAAGTGTTTAATTAAAACAAAGTCAAAGAGAATGCCAGTCACATTACTCACCTGCTCACAATGCTTTTACCAGAGAGCATTAATTCCTACTTTATTTAAGCATATTTGTGGCATCATGCCAGGTTGAGAATAGCAAAAGCCTGGCATTCATCTCTAATAGCTTTATCTCAAAACATTCTTTATGAATGTTTTTTTTTTAAACTGAGCTGGCTAGATAAAGATGCTTGACTTCAATCTATGAAGCCAGAGCTGTTAGATTAGGCCCTTTTGAAGTTCCAACACTGAAATAAAAATATTAGTAAGCATATTAGTCAACCTTCAGGTTCAAAGCAACCATGTAACTAAAACAACAGAAAGAGACCCCCACTCCCACTCCCCCTTTTTTGAGCTCAAGGTTAGGCCTGGAACATAATGCAGAAAGGAAACGCCGAAGGGATAGGGCTCCACCTCCACAAAGTGTCTAAACTTCCAGAAGATTAAAAATGTCTTCCCCTGGAATAAGCAGCTCTGCAACCGAGAGAGATGTTCTAGCCATTCTTTTGACACATTCCTGGCTCTGCCCATGTGCTCCGTCTCTGTTAACTGACAGTCCTGTCATCATCTCAGCTTGACATTCCTCTCTCGCTGGAGAATGCTGAGCATCACAGGACTTGTTTTAAGGCCTGATACACATCTTGGATGTGTGCTCTTCTTCAAAGCACATTCTTCACATGGTTTACCTCCCTTTACCTCTCCCAAAGGCTGAGCGATCATCCTCAAAACATGCCGTTGTTTCTCCCTGCCCTCATGAAATCTGCATCCTGACATCCTGCCACAGACTTTATGTAAAGTATGACTCTTCTTCGTGACACCTGTCTTTTCCCCCTCTAGCAATAATTAAAACAGCAATGGACAGACCTCCGGCACAGGGACAGTTTAGTTATAACTATCTGCACTCATACAGCAGTTGTACATTGGCTGTATATTATTTTTGAGATTTCTGACTACTCTATCCAGTTTCCAGGCGGATAAGGGAATTGCCCTGTGTGAGGCTGTGCAAGCTGCTTCAGGCAGGAATAGTCTTGACTATCTCAGCAGAAGGATGATGGTGTATCAAAGACCCATTCAAGGGTCCAAAGTCACTCTGCTGTTACTTGTTTATTTGTTGTTATTTCATCTTGCCTCTCCGCCAGGAAGCTCAAGGCCTTGCATCTGCCTCTCCTCTTCTCTCTTTTATTCTTGTAACAACCCTGTGAGGCAGATCATGTTACGAGGGAATTACATGCTCTAAAATGGCTCCTGGTTTATATATATATATATATATATATTCCCATTTTCTGGCTCTTTCTTGGGAACAGATGGTTAGAAAGAAATAATCTCTAAGGGCTACCCTGTGGCCCACTTACATTTTAACCCCTTGATGGTACTTCCCACCCTGATCAGATAACAAAAGATATTTTGTGAGCCATCAATTACACCCCGCTTCCTTATCTCAAAATATTTGCTCCAGCAGGTGGGGGAAATTTCCCACAGGAAATAATTCTTGTAGGATCTATATGGTCTTAGCTACTGGAGCAGGATGGCAAGAAGTCACACTAAGATAGTCAGTTGCATAGGTATACCTCATCAACAGTACAGTATACACATTAAGAGAATGCCCTATGCACTGACCAAAAACACAATTTTTAAATCAGAACAAGATCTAAATCACAAGACACATATTTTGGGGCAGGTAGAATAAAGCTGAGAGTCTGAAATTGACTCAGGGAATTTAAACCACCTACTGTCTCCTTTGTTCTTGTACAATGTGACAATGTTTGCAATGTTTGCAGCAAATATTTAAGTGAAGCAGATCAGCAATACTACTATTTTTAGGGAGCCCCTTTTTTGACTGAGGAAAAGCTTTCCATTGATTTCCTAACATTCATCACCATTGTGAGAGGACATTCTCAACTGCTATACATGGGACAATCAAGAATTAAGAAAGGGTTTCCTCTTTCCCTCTCTCTGCTACTTGAATTCTTGAAATGCTGATAATTATTTTATTACACTGACCTCTGAATTCTTGGAGATTGAACCCTGAACTCCCAGAACTTCTCCATCCCAGAGCTAAGACAGTGGCCAAAATCCTGTTGCTTAGTGCAGTAAATTGCATGATAGTCCCACTGAATTAATGAGGATATACTGAGTTAAACCTTCTGTAGGCTCCATTGAGTCAAATGGGCCTACTCTAACTGTAGTTTGCTTTAGCATAATACGTTGCAGCATAGGCCCATTTGAATCAATGGAACTTGAGACGAGTTGACTTAACAAATCTCACTAATAAAACGGGACTACTTTAATGGAATGTATTGTGTGAAGCAACAGGATTTTGGCATTATCTCAGCATTGGGGTGGACAAGTTCCAGGGATTCAGAGGACAATCTTCCAGTGTCAAGACTCACCCAACCTAAAAAAATATATAAAGGGGGGAGAGGCACATAGGCCACAAATTCCCTATTCCTGGCTTTCAACATATACGTAAATTAGAAAGGGCAGCTATATCAGGAATTGTGTCCTTTTCAGTAGCCACCCAGCAGCTACAAAATCCTTTCTTAAATAAGTGGTGTCCCTAGTCTCAGAGATTAATAGTTCACAGCAGAACAGAAGGACACAGCTAACAGAACAACTAGTTGCAAGAAGCAACCAGATTATGTTTGCCTTCTGTAAAATTGCATGGATGAAAGCACTATTACATTTAGACAAACAACAGTTTGTTTTTCCACTTCCTCATCAACAATGAAGTCTTGTTCAAGCATCAATTTAAAAACTACCTGGATGATGAGGAACTCTCTCTCCGCAGGGTATTAAGGTGGAACAAAGATGGTGCTAGACACACAGCAATGTTGGTTGGAGTCATCTGATTTTCCTCCACAAAAGCTACAACATCACGGAGAAAGAACAGCAGAACTTTCAAAGCTTCACGATTTTCATCTGGAAGCAGAAGAATCGCAGCTTGGACAGCATGAAAGTGCTGCTCTTTTGGCAGATCTAGAAAACAATGGAGGACAAAAATTAAGAGGTGCTAGGAACCACATATGATAAGTCTTTGAGTTTAGATTTTTACTTCCAAGCAGATAGAATACAGCCACCCACACCTGATTTCCACTTATTTGTCATGCAACTGGGCACAGGTTAAGAAAATCCAAAAGAATATCATATAACCAAAAAGTTTTTTAAAACCCGGGACAATCAGATCAGAAATGGTCTTCACATGGCTGCTTGAAGCATCTCACATTAAACAAGTTAGTTATTTCAAGGAAGGAAGAAGTATCATAGTGCCAATATTTGTCACTTGACTTGTTACTTAAGAAACACCATTAATTTAAAAGCATAAGCACTCTTAAATTATGAAAATTCCAATGAAATGAACATCTATAATGGTTAGAACAGTGTTAAAAAGCAACAACATACATTGATAGATATGGAGGAAAGATTCACAGAGCTTGCTAGTGAAAATAGGTTCTGGAAGATCTCGAAAATATTGTTTCACCATATCTGCCACATCAAATGCTGATTGTCCCTCATAAGTTATGTTATTTGGGCTGTTTTCATTCATTTCCCGTAAGTAAAGGATCCTTGATTTCACACCAGATTTTCGGAAAAGGCCAACCTGCAATTAAAAACAAGAAAAAATAAAGGTCTAGACCAAAGAAGAATCTCCACTACTTTGACTATTGCAACTGCTCCCAAACTTTTTTGCACCATGCCCCTTCTTGTAGTTTCTGAGAAACTTCAACCCCTGTCCACCTCTCCTTTACTACCTTCCAGCTCCCTTTCAGCAAAATATTCAGTATGCAATTTAAATGTAAACATAAACACTTTGTAAATAATATTTGAAATACAAAATAAGCACAAACCATTTTCTCATAACTAAAATGAGTTTAATATGAAGGATTAGTAAACTTTATAATCTTTTGCTCTCTTTGTAATTTCTTCACATGCACCAGCTTGGGAATCAGTGAATTGTGGCAGAACTTTTATGTAACTATACATCTACAAACTTCCTGAGTACTTCGGCACATATCAAAGTTCTTGTGCACACACAATATAATCACAGAATGAGAGACTGAGAACATTTTATTTGAAGAGGGGAAAAGGCCTTCTTGATAAACTGTTGGTGAATGGATCATGACTCCTTCTTCATAATTGTATATACACTTTCATCTGCAGTGTTTTATGTACAGTACTGTATTGTCATTCAAGTCTGATTCACACACCTAGATGTTTGTATACTTTTTTCTCCCAGGCCACTTATGATTTATAGCCGAACATTGATTTATAGCTTGCACTGAAGAGTGCTGAGTATGAAACAACATGAAGTGCCATTAAGAGTTATGTTTATGATGACTGAACTCTGTTGCCAGTTATTGCCCAAAATTGTATCGGTTAGTTATGCCAACACAAGTGCATGGCATAAATTGCAGCAGGAAATCAACATTGGTTAATGAGTCATCACTTGCATTCCTTGCCATGTGTCAAGTCACAGAACAGGCACACAACAAGTAATACAAGTGTCAATTTATTAAACAGTAACAATTCATCCTTGCAATTTATGCCAGCATTTTTTAAAAAAGGATTCTAGCTAATACATGATGCTACACTCAGACCAATCAAGATGTCAATGAAAATGCTGAAAATGAAGCCGCATAAGCCGTCATTGTCAAATTCTGCACATCTTTATTCCTTTACCTCTCTATTTTGCCCAGCTGGATAGCAGACAGAACTTTATGAAACAATGAATTTCTGTTCATATGAAACATTTACATATGCCAAAAGGTCACTGGCATGCTTACATGTAAATAGGTTTGGGGGACAAAATCTACTTCTAAAGCACTAAAGAAAAAAGCCATAAGGTATGCAATTTAAAGATAAGGGTGGATGATATCTTCATTAGATTATTCAAATCTCACACAGAGAGGCTAGCTTTTGACTCTGCCTATGTCTTTCGTTAGCTGAACATTACAGTGCAGAGGGAAGTACAGAGGGAAAATATAGACATTCCCAAATCCATGATCAGATGTGCAATCCAGATTCCTTTTTAAAAGGTAAGTTCCAAAATGGGAGCAACAGAACCTGATCAGAGGTGGAATAGTTCCCTAGCTGTTAGGCAAAGAACTGCCAGTTATTCAACACCCATCTCCAAATGCCAACACCACACCTTACATTGAAACACATGGGTCCTCCTTGGCTGGGGACAGAAGCACACAGAAACACAATAGACCCCATATCAGAGAAATAATGGAGTCAAGAAGTAGCATCTCTGTGTGTGAGATTTTTAGAGATATCATCCCTATTGTCTTCTGATTGTGTATAAGGAGCACACAGCTTTTGCAGTTTTTGTTGGATTGTACTATAAAAAGCTGACCATGACAGTCTTTACAGTCAAGGAAGCAAAGACATTTAACGTGGCTCATGCATTACAGTCTTCTTCATTAACATGGCTCAAACTGGGCACTACATCTTCCTTCAGCTATGATGTAATACCTTTGGTTACAATTTGCTTACCCAGTGTGTAAGGCTAAATTTTATCCCAGCTTCTCTGATACAAGGGTCTGTCATCTTTGTGTGCCTCTATCCCAACCAAAAGGAAACCATGTGGTTCCAGATAAGGCATTGTGTGTGGAGGGGTTCTGAATGACTGATAACCCTTCCTTTAAGAACTCTGGCACATTCTAATCCACATTACTAGAAATAAAATGTGAACTCTGCTATCTTTAAGTGGATTCTGCAACTCCCATTTTCAAACCTGCTTTAAACAAGAAATGGAGTTTGTACATCTGACCACAGCAATTGGAACCTTTATATGTGTGTGTGTGTGTGTGCGTGCGTCCGTGTAATTCCTAGCTCTGTGATGTTCGACAGAGCTAGTCTCTGTGTGTAAGATTTTACCTTTCTCTTTGGGTTTCAGCAAAATGATTCAAATAACTGGGGTAGGACAGCCATCAAGGGGGATGCTGTTAGGTATCACAGAACTGTTTGTAGCTATTCAATAAAGCAGCAACTTTTCATAAAGCACTGAACGTCTAGCATCATTTTAATTTACTGATCATGGAAAAAAATAAGCTAGTAGCAATGTGCCTAAGCATGGTACTTTGAGTTTATCATACCTGGTCAAGAAAATGGTCTCGTAAATAATCCATGGCTTGGAGGATGCTTCTTGGAAGTGAATGGCCTGTTCTTTGGGTATTTAACAGTAATGGTACGCCAAATACATTTTTGTCCTTATAATCAGGGGCTTTTACTTTTCTAATGAACTTTGGAATAGTCCTAAAAACAGAGAAGTACTTTATTAGCGTATATGCTTTTCTGGCTGGTTTGGAAATGGATGTCAATAAAGGAATCTTTAAACATTACATGTTAAAATAATACTATGGACATAATCCTGCTGTGCAACAGCAAGCATGAAACTCAAGGTTCTGCACTTAGTAGTTGTGCTAATGCTGAGGAGGAAGTGCTAACCTTGCACTTCTACCAATGCATTGCATAATTGGTCATGCGAGGGATAAGTGACCAAGTGCACAACTGTATGGCACTACAGTACTCCTTGTTGCCATTTATACAAACATGAACAAGATACTGGCCAATGAAACAACAGGTATGGACAGGATATAACTCCCAGTAGCAACGCTGAAATTGTCCACAATAACCTTTGGTCAGTATATGAAACCTTTTTAGAAAAAGAAAAGACTACCCTAGTAGTTGCTCTCAAGTTTCATGCAGCCACTCTCAAAACTCTGAACACCCTCTACTGCCCTCCTTCAACCATGTCAATCTTCTGCCAAAAATAATCCCCCCAAGTTTGCAAGTTAGAGTTCTGTTTTCCTTTAGCTGCTGTTGTCATGAACATATTGAGGGTTCAGTACAAAATTCTCCATCATTAGGCTGAGAACCACAAAATGTTAGCAAAAGAATGATTTCTGTTGGAAGCCAGGCAACCCTATCTTGTTGATATCTGTAGATATCTTACTAAAGTTGGCTTCATGTCTGTGACAATACTAAATAAATAGTTGCTTCACTTCAGAAACTAAAGTGAAATTAAAGTGCTCTTCACTTCCTGTGGGGAATAAGAAGGCTGCTCTTCACTTTAATTTAATTTACCAGTGCCATCCTTGTTTGCTGGAAGGAGAATATTTATCCATTAAAGTAGTCAACTTTAGCAAAGCAAGCTTCTGCATTTGAGTAAGACGGGAAGCTGACTGGCTGTCGATTTCCAAAGAAAGATTTCCCAAATGTGTGCATTCCTCAGCTGAGCAATGTCTCCTCAAGCAGCTGCAAAACAAAAATTTCCTTAAGTGCCCTTCAATATGACTACTATTTTCTGCACCCATTCCCTTTCTGAAGCTTCACAACCCAGCCACAACAGTCATGCATTGGAAAACAGACAGAGCAGCAGACAGAAAACTAGAGAATTAAGAACCCAGACTGAAATGCATTTAACAATTAAATCATCACCTTTAAAATGAATTCTATTGCCTTTGCACTCCATAACTTCAACCAGGACCAGTTCTTCCATTAAGTTGGGTGAAGCAGCTGCCACAGGCAGCGAGGCGCCAGATGTGGTGCCCTGTTGCTGCTCCACCAGAGGGTTGCCATTGCTGCCTCTCGTCCCCTTCCAGCCACAATATGATATGGCTTCTGCAACCACTGCTTCATTTTCTTGCCCCGGCGGCTTAATGCTTCTGCAACCACTGCTTCATTTTCTTGCTTAACGGTGGTAGTGACTGCTGTATCTCAGCTTGCTTCTCTCCATGCCATGACACCCCATCAATATCACCTGTTCACTTGCTTACCTACCCTCTGTTAGGAAGGTGGTACTTTGCATTAAAATATATCAGGGCTACTAGCATTTCTTTATAAGCGGGGATACTAAAGGCAGATGAAAGGATTAGGACAAAACAGAATGCAAGATAAGGCCGCGAGGGCAGGAAGGAGATGGTAGAAAGGATTGGGGGGCCTTAACACTGGGAGGGCTCAGACCATCATTGTTTTTAAATTAAACTCATTAAATTTTCCACCATCTTTTTCTATTTAAAAACACTGAATTTTATTTTAGTTTAGTTTAGACCCACTTCAACCCATAAACAGCTGACCTGATTGAATGCTCAGACGTCAGTTTTGTCCCTGGTTCCATGATGTACATTAGTTCCGTGAGGCCGTGTTCACCAACATGTTTACAGTCTTCTTCATCATCAGCAACCGGAAATCCTACCAATTTCCCTTCTGAATGTTCTTTAATATCAAGACGGATCCCTTTAGGAGATGATGGGCATGGAGAGGTGGACTGGTTGGAGTGAGTGGCCGAGTCAGAGTCCCCATCATCAGAGAACTTCTCTGTCCACTGACTGACCAATTTCCTAAGCCCATTAACATGTTCCATAACATTGTCTAGTTCTGTAAAAACATCATCCTCACCAACGTCCAATTTGTTCAAATAAATGCCTGGAACATTGTCGTATATGCTCAGTCTGTTGTCCCCCAGTGAAAAAGAGCCAGGAGGCGTTTCAGGCTCCTGAGAACAAATCTGAGTCCTGTTTCTCCGGCATCCGTGGAAACTCCCTGTTCTCCAGTTAACAGAAGTATTGTCTATTGGAGATAAGAGGCTGTAGGTAAGTGCTTTTGGGAAGGTCCCAGGCTTATGGCCTTGTGGTACTTGAAAAACTTTGGCCTGCTGCAAATGGATCTCGTTTTTGATGTTACGCTCAGAAAGATCACTCCACGAGGAAATCTTGTTGGAATCAAATTCCTCCACATCCATTCCCCCTTTTTTACTATGTCTCCTCACTTTAATAACAGGGCTCGGGGTACTCATGGTGCTGCTATTTTCAGACTGGCTGCTGCTGCTGCTGCTGCTACTACAGGTCTGTGGGGAATAAGAAGGCTGCCTCAGACGACCCTCAGACACATCGGAAATACTTATGCAGTTGAGGTTTCTCAGTTTTTCTTCATTTAGTCCCTCTACAAGCACAGGTTCACTAATAAGAGGCTTGGCCTTTGAATGGGCATCTCTCTTCAAACTGCTACTTCTTAAGCGCAATTTTTCCATTTTCTTTAAGAAACTCCTTCCCTTTTTGTGGGTTGGTTTGTCTAAATGTTTGTCCTCACTGATTATATTCAAGATTTCGCTCGGAGAGGGAGAGCAGCTGAAGGTGGAGTCAAGAGATGCCAACTTGTTTGAAGAGCATGTTGAAGAACTCCTGCTTGTGTCTATTTCTTCACCTGTTTTTGAAAAGCTGATTAAGTCACTGTCCCCACTGCTGGAACTGTGAACCGAGGATTTGTCATTTCTCTCTCTTTGATCAGAAAATACTATATCTCCACTGCCAGAGCATTTCACCCTCAGACTATTGGGAGCTGATAGTGCCGCAGAACTTTCTGAGTTCCCCAGGCGAGACCACCTCCGAGTATGCTTCTCATAAGTCCATTTCTTGCTTATTGCACAAGGTTCTTCTTCTTCAGAGTCATCACTCTTGAAGGGAAAAAATGGGTTTTCATAGTATCAGATGGATAATAAAACAATGTGAATTATTCATAGTCATATTTTCTAGAGCAGTATTCTGCAGGATTTTATTTTGCCCATATACATTCCAAAACATTAATTCTCCTATTTTTAGCCTAAATATTGCCTTACACATGGAATGTTCTGCAGCCAAGCCATCCTCCCATGAAAGCAGATGCTTTGGTCCCTCAACTGCTTCAGTCACATTGTTGTGTGTGTGTGTGTGTGTGTTTGCAATACTGCCCACCTAGCCCATATGCGAAAGTGTTATGTGCAGGACATCTCTTTGCATCCCAGCTATCCAAGCAAGCACTTTAGGGTGCAATCAGACAATTATTTAGATTGCATTTGAAGTGCTGATAGCATGCTCTGGTTCGCTCTGTTTGCTAGCAACCAGACAACATACTACATGTGTGTGTGTGTGTGTGTGTTTGCAATACTGCCCACCTAGCCCATATGCGAAAGTGTTATGTGCAGGACATCTCTTTGCATCCCAGCTATCCAAGCAAGCACTTTAGGGTGCAATCAGACAATTATTTAGATTGCATTTGAAGTGCTGATAGCATGCTCTGGTTCGCTCTGTTTGCTAGCAACCAGACAACATACTACAGATAATGAACCAGCCTGATGCTGCTCCAGACCTTGTTGGTCTATCAGCTATTCATTTCTTTTGGAGCTGGCTGATGTGATCAGGACTGGACAGAAGGGTCACTTTAAAGGGTCCCTTTTAAGATTATACTCTGGAAAGGACCCTTTTTGACACAACCTACTGCCATCTTTATGTCCTCTTATGATCTCAACCTGAATTCAATGGAAGTAACTGATGAAGCATAGCATTAGCAAACAGAATGTTTCTACTGAAATACATAGGACTTGCTAATTTAATTTAACTTAAATTAACTTCCATTAATTTCATTGGATTATTCTATGTGTGTGTGTGTGTGTGTGTGTGGTGTCCCTCAACTGCTTCAGTCACACTCAGTGGGTTCAGTCAAAAGTGACTTTAAAACTTTAGTTTCTTTTAAATGCCAACTTAATTTGTCTAAATTTAATCCTGCTCTCAATTCACTTAAGAGTTAAACAGCAAAATCAAAGCAAACACTTCACATCTGAACTCTGTGGATACTTCTTATGTAACTACTTTGGGGCCGCCATCAACTTTCTTACACTGTCAAAGTAACACAAGACACCTTGGAGCAAGTAGGAGTAACTCATCTTGCAGCCTCCAGAGACGTCCTCCTTCCCTCTACTAGAGTCAGCCTCACAGAAACTGAGCTAACATTGCTGAGAGTACTGTCAAAAGCAAAGGAAGAAGCAACTTTTCAACATTTTCCCACAATAATTTCCAACAGCATTGCTAAAGTCATGTAAAAATGAGTCTGTTCTACACATGGAGAGAATGAGCTACTCAACTCCTAGTGCAAGCGTGAAAAATGTATCACTGCAGATCAGGAGTGTCTTCCTGCAATGCTCCCCTTACACAGACACAAAGGTAAAAAGACTGGTGCACCCGTGAGAACAGTTCTAGCCAAGCAAAGCACTTACTTTTCTGCTTACTTGCATAGCTACAGGTACATACTGGTGTATGGGTGTTGATGTCTAACCAAACGTTTAAAAATGCAACATCTCCAATGTGTAGTCTCAACTGATTCTGTCCATTCCCTCCTCAAAGCTCTGCCTTCTCATTCTCCCCCGTGTGTACTAGTGGGTAACACAATGTGCAAATAATGTTCAGAAAGCAGACCATTGTTTTGGAAGATATTTTATGTAATAATTCTTGTGTTGTTTTTTTATTTGCTGTTATGTCATATTGGAAGCCGCCTAGAGTGGTCGTAGGACCAGATGGGTGGGGTACAAATAAAATAAAATTAAATAAATAAATCAACTCGTTCAATTGTTCCTAATAAGACACACCTAAGAACAGAGATGTTTCGAGCATTTTTGTGACTGAAGAAAGAACAGCAAAGCTCACAAACACTTTCTAATTCCAACAGCATTGTGCCTGATGATGTGGAATAAATAATAAATTTCATAAAATATCGATCTTGTATATTAGTACCTTTAACTTTTAAAAAAATTAATTTAGAATACAGAAGATGGGATGATTTGGAAACATACCCGCTTCCTTTGTCGACTTATTTCCACCTTCATTGCTGCATATTTATTCAGTGTATTTAACCGTCTAGAAGGGAAGGGAGAAATATATTAAGACTTGCAACCTGAGCTTTGTACTAATCTTGCAAGCAATGGCATTCGATCCATTTTATTTCTTAACCACCTTGAGTTTTCCTTTTTGTTCAGTAGTCCATGAAGGACATGCTTCCCATTACACCTGCAATGTTCAGTATATCATTCCCTTCTGTTCCATGGCTTCCTAAATTTCCACAGCAAATTCTCAGGGGAAATAGGGAACTGCAGGGGGAAAGGGTGAACTGGTGATGATTAATGCCTTCCATATTTAATCAGCAGAAAAGCTCTACTGAATCAAAAACCTTCTGTGGATGGAAGGATTGCTTCTGTATCTAGGAGGATTATGCTGGATCCAGTACCACATTTATACACATGCCTTGTGTGATATGTAATTGACACGGAAAGTGGGAGCAGGCACAGCAGCATATGCCATTTTTGAAGAGAGATAGTTCTTTACATGATGTCACATTTTCCTGTCCACAAATAAATACTGGACATTAACCCTCAACAATAGATCAAGTAATATTTTTAAAAGTTTATATTGGACTCGCTGAATAGATATTCGCTATTTTATCTCGAGCCACTATTTTAAAAAGAATGAAGATCCAACATATGTAAGCATGACTAATGTATTGCCTTTAACCAATTTCTTTACAAATTAAGCAATAATTAAGCAATATTTGCACCAATATTGTTGTCTAATTTGTTTGCAAGTAAGCAATTATTCTGGTATGTCCCCGGGGTGTGGGTTGGAGTAGCATAATATTTGTGAAGGTGATGCCTCGAAACTGAAATTATAACATGTTGCTAAACTATTATGTCTTCTCTGATAAAATGTCTGCATTACTAGTTCCTGCAACATTTTACCAAACTTTTCAGAAGGATTTCAGTGCCTGATTTTTTCAAAGTATGTTTAAGTTACTCATCATAATCTAAATCTGAATGCTACTTATATTCGGAACATTAGACAACTTGAAAAGTTGAGCTGGGAGTAGCATCATAAAAGTAAATACAGTAGACAATTTGAATATCTTTTTTTAAAATGAAACAGTAAATATTAAATAAATCAGGAAACAAATAAATATTAAAAATGTCACTCCATAGGAGATGAGATCTTAGAGGAAAAATAAGTTGGCCCATTGAGCAGCTGGGCAGCATGACAATATAAAATATCTTCCTAATAAACCATCTATCCCCCAGCCCAAAGGCAATGCAATGTAAGCAAAATGTAAACTCAATCATGTCCAATGACATTTCACAATAAATTCTCTGGGGAAGGAGAGAATTACAGGGGGAGGGGAAATTGAAAGATCTTATTAGTTATGAAAGCTTGACTCCTGCGGGTGCTCTTGGTAGATTTGTTTGTGTTCTTAACCACTGAAGACTTGAGGTGAAATAAAGCACCCTATAATGTGACTAAAAACCAGCAGAACACCACTGTGGATGCTAGAGTACAGGTACAACAAATTCTTGGTGACTCATCCCGTCATTTCTGTGCCAGCCATTTCTGTGCCAATAACCAAAAAGTGATACATTTAAAGTACTTGTGCTCTAAAGTTTGAAAAATATGAATGAGAACTGCCAGCTCCACAGGAGAAATTGGAAAAATAATCTGAAATAATTATCTTGTCTGCTTTGCTCCTGCAAGCTGGCCTTTTAGATTCAGTAATAACTTCAGCATGTCCTGACAATCGGACCCTGAAGGAATACAAAGGAGATTGATCCCCAATCCCTGATGATCTGTTTAAACATCTGAAATATCATATTGGTATGACAGAATATTCAACAACATACTGTAAGTGTGAGTTAAGTCTAGTTCATACGTTTGGTTTCATGAGTGAATTTCTTCCATATGGTAAATCCTATGTCAACAACTTATTGAAGATAAACTCTGTGTGATCCGGAAATATACATTATAATGTAAACTCCAGCAATTATTAATCGCAATTGGAACTCCAGCAATTATTGCAAGCATTGACAGTCAGAATGCCTTGTATAAGCATTGTTGTTGTTTAGTCATTAACTCGTGTCTGACTCTTCATGACCCCATGGACCAGAGCACGCCAGGCTCTCCTGCCTCCTGGAGTTTGGTCAAATTCATGTTGGCAGACACTGCCCAGCCATCTCATCCTCTGATGTCCCCTTCTCCTCTTGCCTTCACACTTTCCCAACATCAGAGTCTTTTCCAGGAAGTCTTCTTTTCTCATCAGATGGCCAAAGTATTGGAGCCTCAGCTTCAGGATCTGTCCTTCCAGTGAGCACTCAGGGTTTATTTTCTTCAGAACAGATAGGTTTGTTCTCCTTGCAGTCCAGGGGACTCTCAAGAGTCTCCTCCAGCACCACAGTTCAAAAGCATCAATTCTTCGGCAGTCAGCCTTCTTTATGGTCCAGCTCTCACATCCATACATAGCTACTGGAAAAACCATAGCTTTGACTGTGTGGACCTTTGTCGGGAAGGTGATGTCTCTGCTTTTTAAGATACTGTCTAGGTTTGTCATCAATTTCCTCCCAAGAAGCAGGCGCCTTTTAATTTTGTGGCTGCTGTCACCATCTGCAGTGATCATGGAGCCCAAGAAACGAAAATCTGTCATAACCTCTATATCTTTCCCTTCTATTTGCCAGGAGGTGATGGGACCAGTGGCCATGATCTTAGGTTTTTTGATGTTGAGCTTCAGACCATTTTTAATGCTCTCCTCTTTCACCCTCATTAAGAGGTTCTTTAATTCTTCCTCACTTTCTGCCATCAGAGTGGTATCGTCTGCATATCTGAGGGTGTTGATATTTCTTCCAGCAATCTTGGTTCCGGCTTGGGATTCATCCAATCCAGCCTTTCGCATAATGTATTCTGCATATAAGTTAAATAAGCAGGGAGACAATATACAGCAATATACAGCATTTATCTCTAGTTCACACAAAACAATATAACACTGTAACACTACAATTCCTGTGTAATACTTATATCCTCAGACAGTAAAATAGGTAGCTGTTTTAAGATACATGCTTAATCATTCTGTTTAGGTATCTTATGGAAAGCCAAACGTTTTCAGTTTTACACATCTTCTTAGCTGACTAAAGCAGTATCTGGGCAAAGATTTACCTGTACAGAGATTCTATGGCATCTTCATCTAAGAACTCATGGTCTTTTCTTGCCATGGTGATGTCAACAGGAAATTGCATATCTGAAAAGTCCAAAACATCATGTTTTTTTGAATGCAGTAATGTAATGTTTACAACTTTCTAAATTAGCCTAAATAAGCCAACCCAAACAGATATCTTGTAGAATATTTAATTATTTCCATATCTGGGAACACAAGAACATCACAGTACCTTCAAACATCTGAGCATACTGGGGGAAGCCAGCAGCTTTCAGCCAGTCACAGGCTTCTTTGGCCTCAATTTCTGAAAGAGAGGAGGAAAAAATCTTTTAAAGACTGGTTTTCCAATAATGACCAAACAAATTGTGTTATACAATTCATTCAGATCACTCTTGGTTTTCTGTTTCCAAAAATGTAGTTTTCTCCCCTCCCCTCCAACTCTGTATTGTAATAATAATAATGTTAGAACTGCAGATCTGGAAGAGACCCTATGGATCATTGGGTCCAGCCCCTGTCAAGGAGGCACAGTGGAGAAGCAAACTCCCAACTTTTGGCTCTGCAGCCAGATACCTAAACCAGTAAGCTATCCAGCAGCAGTAAGACACGACTCTTCATATATATATATTTCTCACTCTGCACACAAAAACAACAGACAGAGACTTGCCTGCAATAGCCTCTAATCAACAGTAGTTACATATGGCCAAGTCAGTTCAGATTAATAGCAATCTTAATTTGGCTTTCAAAGTGTACAGATGTTCACCAGTGCCACCTTTGGCTTTCAAAGTGTACAGATGTTCACCAATGCCACCTTTCAAATAAGTTCCCATGGCTAAGAAGGGATTTGAATCCATGTATCTTGAGTTATAATTTGACATTCTATTTATTCTCTACACAACATAATAGCATTATAATAGAGTTGTGGATAGAATGATGGACTAGGGCTCAGGAGATCTGGCTTCAAATCCCCAATCAGCCATGGCCATGGAAACTCATGGAGAGGGTGAAGAGGGAGAATAGAATTGGTAAAACCACTCCTTAAATATCTAACTTACCTTGAAACCCCTATTAGGGTCACTGTAAGTCAGTTCTGATATGACATCACATATAACACACACATATACATGTAATATTCCTACCACTTTTCTTCTCTAATGTATCTTCCATACATGAGGATCAGTGACCACAAAAATATTTGGCAATAACTTATCTAAACACAAAGATACTGTCTGTGGAGCAAACCTTCCAAATGAGGTCCCTCGGGGTTTTTTGTTTAATCCCCTACACTATGTAACATCTACATGAAACCTCTGCGGGAGGTTGTCCGGAGTTTTGGTGTTCAGTGTTATCAAAATGCTGATGACACCCAACTCAATCTCTCCTTTCCATCGAAACCCAAGGAAGCTATTGTGGTTCGAAATCAGTGCCAGGTGTCAGTAACGGACTGGATGAGAGCGAATAAACTGAAACCTAATCCAGACAAGGCTCCTGGTCAGTCAAAAACCAGAGCAAAGAATAGGGTTGCAACCTGTGCTGAATGGGGTTACACTCATGCAGCTTGGAGGTGTTCCTGCATTCATCTCTGAGCCTAGATGCCCAGGTTTTGGCACTGGCCAGGAGTGCCTTTTTACAGTTAAAACTAGTGTGGCAGCTATACCTGTTGTCTGAGAGGCCTGATCTGGCCATACTGACACATGCCCTAGTTACATCTTGGCTGGATTACTGTAACACGCTATATGTGTCTGGAAAGTGTTCAGAAACTCCAGAGGGTCCAAAACGCCACAGCAAGATGGTTAACTGAGGCTGGTTAGAGGAAACATATAAATCCCATGTTACAGCAGCTCCACTGGCTGCCAATCCATTTCTGGGCACAATTCAAAGTACTGGTTCCAACCTATAAACTCCTAAACGGCTTAGGTCTAAGCTATCCAAAAGACCACATCTCCCTCTATGAGCCTTTCCAGGCTATAATATCATCAGGAGAGGTCTTTCTCTCAGTCTCACCATCCTCACAGGTTCACTTGGTGGGGACACAGGAGAGGGCTTTGTCTATGGCTGTTCCCAGACTCTGGAACTCCCTCCCACAGGAGGCCCAGAAGCCCCATCTTTCCTGTCCTACCGCAAGGAGGCAAAGACCTTTCTCTCTAGGCAGGCCTTTCTTCAATCTCTGATGGTCTAAGAGGGCTTTTAAAATGGATTGTTGTGCTCTGTTGTTTAAAATATGTTTTAATATTGTTTTAATTTACCATTTTAATACTTGCTTAATATTGTTTTAATTTACCATTTTAATATAATACTTGCTAAATTTTTAAAAAATATTTTGTGTTTTGCTTTGTTTTTAAATACTGTTTTTTTAAATGATATAAGCCACCTTGGATCCTTTTAAAGAAAAAAGTGGAATAAAAATATTTTAAATGAATAAATAAGGTACTGTATTATCAGAATAAAAATATTTTAAATAAATAAATAAGGCACTGTATTATCGTGTTTGGAAGTCAAAGTAAATGCACTATTTCCCCCAAAACTGCTTGTTGCTCTACAGCGTTTAGTGTTCTCTATAGCACTGTTTAGGAAGCAATAATTCTCCACTCTGCCCCACTCATTATTAAAGGTATTTTAGTTTCCCCTCTCACCATCTATAGCATCTATATTGAGTGCAATAAAACAGATGTTAGGGACTAACTAGTCGCTTTGTGGCAATTAATTACAAAGTCCTGCGGCTATAACACTGTAACGTTCCCACAGGAAAAAGAGGAAAGCATAGCTTTGCAGCATTACAAAACATTTACCAGATGCCTAAAAAATGTAAACATGTTTAACATACTTCTGGAAGAGCAAAAGCCAGAAGTTCCACAAGGAAGAAATACTGCAAGTCCCCACATCCCTTGTAAAGGCAGACTCTAGACAGTTCTATTCTAGTTTCTCAATGAGGGACTTTAATTCTGCTTTTTCTACAAATTGAAGATTTTTTTTCTGGCATGATAAAAGATGTTTTATTTTTACTTTTTATGTTTAATACATTTTCATATGGGCATGCATTTATAAATGTGTCTTTCTGAAATAACTGGAAATAAAATGTCCCAGAGTATAGCCCAATGTGTTAAATGATCCTTTTCATTATACATTTGGCTTGGTTTCAGGCAGCACTTACTTAGTATTTCTGTCTCAAAACACTGATGAGAGTAACAAACATATTCGTACTGTGTTTTCACTTACAGTTGCATCTGACCAAACAATGCGTCTTTTAACCCTTTGTTCTATAAAGCACCCTATTCTACAGTCTCAAAAAATAATAATTAAAAAATAGCCAAGACTGCTGGCCCATTGTATAACCTCTCATAAAGATGTTGCAGTGATTGTTAAAGGAGAGCAATTCATTTTGAACCTCTACTTAGGCTTTAATCTTACAATAATGAGGCCAGCAGGAAGTGGAAACTTTCAGCTGTTTAAATGTTTAGGAAGTCCGGAAATGTGTGTTACATACAAGAACTGAGTGATATCAGAGCTAGCTCTGGACTCTCACGCCACATGCATATCATCCTATGAAATCTATAAAAAGCTGTAATCAGTTGTTTTTTATTAATAGGTTTTTTTTCTTTAGCAGCAAGACAAGAGAAAGAGAGAGTACATGGAACAAACATTTACATGCTCCTGAAAATAAGCTTCTTAGGAATCACAGTGACTTATTTTAAAGGAAACACATTTCAAGTATCTTTTAAACAAAAGATGAGGAAGGAATTACTTGAACAGATGCCTGCTCCAGACTAGGATTTGCCCCACTGCTTTTTCCAAAATCTTCTCTGGAAGGTTTCCCCCAACACTTTGCATCACATTTTGAGGGTACACTTTTACCAGTCGAAGCTGTTCTGCCTGCTACTGTGGCTACCTGGGTCCAGCCCTAATACTAAGGTGGGTGTTACATAGTCCCCTTGTGCTTTACTTTGTCTTTATTGATCGCAAGTGTGCAATAAAAGTCATGTCAATTTTTTAAAAATGCTTTGCTCACTAACCAGCTGGCTGGCTAGCTTGGGGTATTTGTACAAAGCTGGAAATGAAATGTCCTCTTCTCATTTAGATAAGGCATCCTTCAGTCTCGAGAAACTATGGTAACATGCTCTGAATGGAGGACTTGGAACAGCATCCAGTGTGGCTGAGAATGCCAATTCGAGAGTGACAATCCCTTCCACACTGAAGACAAATACAATCTGTCCCCTGTCCAGCTCCCTGATTTTGCTGCTTTCAGGACTGCCTCTTTGCCTCAGCCTGTTGTCTCGTTACAACTAGTACAATGGTGTTCTATGCAATCATTCTGAAGCCTTTGGTTTCTACTTGGTAGGGAGTTTACTCCCACCCCCACCCAAGAAAGGAGAAGGATCAGACAGTGGTGGTGGTTGGCTGCCTTGGAAACCTCATCTTTTGAACAGGAAAATTTTTGTCTTTTTAGGAAGTTGGTTCTTATGGGTTTTCTGGGCTGTTTGGCCGTGTTCTTAAGAACACAGCCAAACAGCCCAGAAAACCCACAACAACCATCGGATCCGGCTGTGAAAGCCTTTGAGAATACATTTTTTTGGAAACAGTTGATCATTCCATTCTTCTAAATGTCACAACCAGGCACTCTGGCAAGAGACATTTCTAGTTTGCATTGCTTCACACCTGAAGTACTGTATCATGTAGGTACTTCAAGACTTTCCTGTAGTTTCTTGCCCAAAGGATAGGTTACCAGTCAGGTAAAACAATAATATAAATAAATCTTAGAACTGCAGAGCTGGAAGGGACTCTATGGATCATCGAGTCCAGCCCCTATCAAGGAGGCACAGCAGAGGATCAAACTCCCAACTTCTAGCTCCACAACCGTATACCTAAGCCACTGTTCAATCACTTTCCAGCAGTTCAGTCACTTTCACTGAACTTAGATGTTACTGAGGCTTAAATTCAACTCACCTGCTCCCTGATCTTGGTGCTGGCAATTGGTTCTTACTGTTTTGCAGTCTCCTGCAGCCATCCTGATCTAGTCTCTCCCTGTGGTAGCAATAACATAGCTTTCCTTGTTCTTTCCCAATCCCCTTTTGCTTCACTTGTTGACTACCAGCCTCAACTTGTCCCTGGCAATGTTTTTTGTTTCTGTGTTGCAAAGAGGCTTCAGGTCTGATGACCTCAAAATACATCTGCAGACCATGATTGTTTCGAGATTATTGGCCCACCAACTATGAACAGCTGTAGGCAACAGACAGTAGTTGCAGGTGACTAGCAAATGTGAGACATCTTACTTTCCTCCCAGTTCCCAGCCTGAAGTAAAAGCGTCAGACC